AAAAAAAAAAAAAAAAAAACACGATTAAAAAAATATCGGATTAACCGAATGGATATGGATTATATAAAAATAAATCCATTCGGATACGGATTAGATCAAATAAAAACTGATTTGATTGGATTCAGATCAGATTAACCTAAAATTTGATTTGATCCGATTTGTTGCAATCCCTATCTGCAGTAGTGACTTATAGGTAATAAAGTTAACAGTTGAAAGGATCTTTACCTGAACTATTAATAGAGTGATAAATTACTTCCGAAGTTGCACTCAGAGTTTTAATAATTTTTTAAAATAAAGATGAGTGAGTTAAATAGAGACTTAGCTTTAACAATATATTCTCTAATATAAAGTATATATATGTTTAATAAAGCATATATACCTAGTCTAATAGAAGGTAAAAAAAAAAAAAAAAAGGAAATATAAATGTTATATCTATTTTTTCATATAAATATAGTATTAACTTTGTCTTGAAAGGTTAGTTCTTCTATAGTCTAGAGTAGTAACAAGCCATTTAGTAAATTTTATAGATTATTTAATCAATTTTAAAAAGTTTAATAATATATATATGATATTTTTTATAATCTTATAATATAAAATTATATTAAATTAATAAATAAAATTAAGCCAGTTACAGTATTAAAAAAAAAAAAATAATATCAATAATTTTATTACTTTAATTATACTGTATGAGTAATAAAATTAAATTTCAAGAACATTTCTATTGATTCTTTTACTATATAGAAAAAAGATATTCATAAGAAGTTTATTTATTTATTTATTAATAAAGCCTTAAATAGGTAGTAGAGCATTAATTCTTCTTTTATTCAGAACTTTCTTGCCATTGGTAAGAAAGATATACTGTATACATGACTTTTGGTCACAAAAGTCAGGTTTTCGTTTAAAGAGAAATATTAATAATATAAGAAGGAACTTGTGATGGTTTTTTTAATTATTTTTTGTTATTTTTATCACGTGATAATGCGATGTATAAATTTGGGAGTAATTATTTTCAAAAACGATTCGAGATGGATACGGTTCGAAATTGTTTACACACAAGCACATTCTTTTTCCTCTTATTCCTGACCCTATCGTCTATAGGGCTCTCTGCCTACGATATAATAATTCACGGGTTAAGTCCTAGGAATTATTACTATGTTATAGTGGCTAGTGGCAGTTACTTTTTAATGGTATGACCACGTAAATTTATATCTCCAAGAAATTTTCTTACCGATTTTTACTTTGACTAAAGGGATTTTCAGCCGTCTTGCTTGGGTTAAGACGTCTGGTAGCTGTCAATAATGCATTAATGAAAATACCTACATCACGATTACCTATTAATAAAAAGAGTTTGCCCAGAGTAAGCTTGTCCGCAACGTAAAAAAAATTCTAGGAATATCAATCCAACAGATTTTTTATTTTTATATTTAGTCTGTGTATAACCTCATCATGCTCGAGCTAGAACGAGTGTCCACTATTTCTTGGGAAAGTGAACCGATATCCGAAGAAAGTGGTCAATTAGGGTGGGGTCGACCAGGTCAGCTTTTGAAATATATAAAATACCTGTCTTCATAATATTAAAAGCCGTTATCACGTTTAGGCACCTCTCTTGACAATATAAATTTCAAGGTATCAATCGTGGATACGTTTACTTTAATAGGTTAGTTTGGTTAAATAATTTATATTACATATTAAATTTTAACCAATATATATATGTATATAATTTTTTAATTAAAGAAAAGAATGCTTACGAGCATTGTCAGTTGAAACGTCAACCTTCAATGTCAGTGCAAAGATTCATTGATTTTTTAATTGAACATAAAATCATTGACCGTAATCTGGGACACGCCTATGTGGAGGGTTATGAAATGGCGAGGTTTAGCGATGAAGAGATCCCCGAAGAGCAATACACGGAATTTATGAAACTCGTCTTACAATTATTGCGTAAATTAGGCTTCAATGGGAATTAATCGTACTCTTTGAACTTTGGGTATAGTCAGCATCTAACTGGAATACCGTGTCAGAAATGACATCCTTGATATCATGGAGTCAGATTTGTCGACTTAATATGGAATTGCAAAGTGTTGATATTACTTGGTATTAATTCTTTTTTTGTTGAATTATTCTACCTCTTCGATTACTCACGAGATCTTTTTTCTTTGCCAGATAAATCCATCAGAGAAGTCTTAAAATTATAAAATGAGTAGTGCATAATCAAAAACATGCTTCTATAAAGTTTGAGACGTTGCATTGTAAGTGTACAATATGTTGGATGTACCATATTTTACCTAAACTAGTTTGTAAGAGTTATCTTTAAGACTACATGTAAATATGGATCCCGAATTATTTAACATAAAAAATTAATCTCCTTGCATCCATATCTTCCAGCGAACGTGAATATTTTTATTTTTCACGTAGTAGAAGCAAATTTCAAAATTTTTTAAAATTTTCAGTTAATTAAATCTTTTAATATTTCCTTGTAGAGTTATATTATTGTTTCTCCATTTAACTTATATGAAATCATATCACATCTTGTGATTTAATAAACTTACTAATTACAAGTATGGGTTCTAATATTATTATTAAATTCTTTATTCAGATTAAATTGATTGATTTGTACATTAACTTCGAAGTTAAAATCCAGGTGGAGATGTTCTCATTGTTACCTTCGTAAACTTAGGTACCAAATGAAAACCTTTTCTATAACCTTTGTAGGTTCTGCTGAAAACTGTATATTTATCCCTTGATTTCATTTCAGAATGTTTTGGTAGTTGTAATGCAGATGTCTGTTTTATAATTAATCATGGACATTAGTTTGTTGGGAATTGGAAATTGTCAGGTTGTACACTTACCAAAGCTTTACATTTAACACCAGATGCAGCAACTGCGGCGATAACCCTGTCAACCGCTTTTAATCTCTTACGAACATTGGCTTTCCGAGTTTTATTCATATTCATTGGCCTCTTCCTATTCTTGACATAAAACATTCGTTACATGTATTCATAATAAATGTTTGTTCTCAACCGCTATCGGGTATAAAACCCACCATAGTAGACCACCAAAGACTGCTGCGGTGGGCCTAAATGAACCGAACATTTTTAAAACAACAAGCGATTCTTAAGAATGAATTTGTCACACGCTAATTTGCTATGTACGCTGTACGCTAATCCCGGTGTAACCGAGATTAGCGGGATTTACTCGTAAAAAGTTAGTGTAATAAACAGATTCTCTCGATCGTTTTTCACTATGTCGTCGTCCATAATTAAAGCTCCTGACCAAGAAAAGTCTCCCGAAGTACCAAGGTAATCTCTCTGACTCCAATAAACTATTCAATTTGCATTTCATTTATCCTTTTTTTTTTTTTTTTTTTTTACTTTCAATATAGATCTGTAGTTTTCAAATTATATCTGCATACCTTGCTAATGGTATTTCTTCCCATCGGCTCATATTTTTTTACTTCAAAGTATTTTTTCGAAGGTAACATCGTGTTAAATATGAAATGCATTTTCCTTATGACGCGTCGAACTTAACAATCATTAATAATACTTAGGGGAACTTAAAACGACCTACGCTGCGCTTTCGGCCGCTGGGATTGCAAATGTTGTCCTTTTTTCATTTATAATTACCGCGTTCGTTGAAGACAGTAGCGATAAGAAAGATAAAAAAGACGAAAAGAAAGATTGAATTTTGTATAGAAATGTGAATACGAATAAATGTACATATATTAAATGTAACTATGTATTTATAAATGGCATGTTCCAATATAATAAAATTATTAAATAATAGTTTTTTGCCGTGTTACCGATTTTGAACATTATACTGTATCTTTACATTTTTAAATCAAACACAAAGTTTTAATGCAGTTTTGTCAAATAACTCTCATTCCTCACTTTTTCAATGAGTTAATTTTCAGAAAATTGCTATTGTCAAGACATCTGATAAAAAACATGTTCACTGATACAACATTGATTCAAGGATTAACTAAAAATACAAAGGATTTTTTTTTTAAAAAAAAATAATCCTCTGTCCGATTAGTTATGCACTAGCGAAAAGGCCTGGACTATGCTCCGGGTTTAGTTATTTGAGTTTTGATTTTTTTTTTTAA